TCATTCTCTTCAAATTTGCAAATATACTGTTACATTCCCCATCGTTGTTGGCATCAACGATAGTTGGACCTAGGGTTTATGAGTTCCTTCCAGATGAATATCACCTCAATCGTCTCTCCCGTCCGCACTTGGGGTTGCCGCTCTTTCACGCAAACTTGCAACAATCCAAATCTTCCATCGTGTCGCACCTAGGGTTGTAAATGGATAACTGAAAATTCGATTACCGTCCGCATCCGTATCCGTTCATATGGAAAAAAATATCCACATCCGTTAAAAGCGGTTATTATCCGTATCCGATTAATGTTATCCGACTGCTAAACGGATACAGATTTGGTAATCACACATTCGATCCGTTTATAATCTGCTCCGCATTGACATCTGTTTAAATAACCATTTATCAGTGTATTCGATCTGTTATATATAGTTTTTCCTAATTTTTTTATTTTTATATTTTGTTTCTCTATTGATATCTCAAAGTATAAGATATTTTATATGCAAAATATATGTGTAGAAACATAAAATATGTGTAGACATAAAAATATGTGTATATATCTACTGTCTATATCTTTTTATGATATGAAATCATCGTAGAATATCATAAACTATAAAAAATATGAAAATAATTATCTCATAAAAAATTATAGTTGATTTAATAATATTTTGATTTAGTTTAATTGAAAATTAAAGTATTGTTTGTTTTGGTTTAAAAAATTGGAAACGGATACGGATATATCCGATATCCGACCGATATCCGACGACGGATGTAGATAGGGTTTTTATTTCCAGTATCCGTCAAGATCCGTATCCAAATTCGATATCCGACAAAAATAAACGGATACGGATTTGGTAAAGGCACATCCAATCCGATTAATATCTGTTTACACCTCTCACGATTGCTCCGTTTCATTGATTCGTGTTAAGGCTGGTTGTACCCAAATTTGGGTACAATGGATTGTAGAATACAAATTGTGTAATTCAGATGATTGATCGATGTTCCCGGATAACATAATGGGTATAACATTCTTCAAATTAAAATTACTTTGTGGTTTGAGATTTACAAACATTTGTTCTCATTTATAAACTCAATTATTATACAATCGTCATTGATTGGCAAAATATATGTTCCCCGCATTGGTTTAGATAATTACAAAAATTGATTAATCTCCTTGTAATGATATGATTCCCTTATCTCAAATTAATTTTTTTAAAAAATATGATTTTCCTTTGCTCGGTTTAATTAAAAAAATTAGGATCCTATAATTATTCTTCATTGTATTAATTGAAAAAAAGATTACCAATTTTATTACTAAAAAATATGTTCCTTTTACCCCGCATTGCCACATTAATTTATATTAGTGAAATAAATATTATTTGTCTCTCTTGTATTAATATGACTATTCTCCCTCGTATTGATTGAAAAATATGATTCTTCTCTTCCCGTATGATTCAAAAAATAAAAGATTAGATTTACTATGAAAAACAATAGTGATCCAGTGATTCAAAAAGAAATTTACAAAAACATTAGATTTTTTTAGTTTTTTGGATGTAAAATAATATAAGCACGTTAAATGTGTTTTAAAGGTAGAGATTAACATATATTTTTATATTTTAAATGTAGAGATTAACATATATTTTTATATTTTATTTTACATTAATATTGAAAATGAATAAAATAAAAACTAACTTCATTTAAGCTTGTGATAAACAAATATTAGAAAAATATTATATTTTGTAATAAAAGAGATGATCTTTATTCCATAATTAAATTTACTCAATAATCTTGAAATCATAAAGAATGTTAGTGTAAATACAGTGTGTCACAGGGACACATTTTTGAATCTATTATACGGAGTAATTTATAATGTAATTGCATATATCATATCATAATAGGCATTTGTATTGTATAATGTAATTAAAAATATTTGAAGCTTCAGCTCCATAGATGTGTATTTATTTATTTTTCTAAAAAAATTAGGTAAGTGTTCCCCGGCTTTACCACACCGATTTTGGTGGACTCCTATGGCGGTTAGAAAATGTAATTAAAAATATCATATCATAATAGATAATTAAAAATAATATATTTAAGAACTAATTTCACTTAAACTTGTCATAAACAAATGAATTTTGAAGGTTAAGAAAGGTTTATTAAATATAATAAATTTAAAGGTTAAGAACTAACTTCACTTAAGCCTTTAAATATATATACTAATAACTAACTTATCTATCTATTATTTAAAAAGCCATAGATTCACATTTTTATTTTCCCGCCCATTTCGTGTTGTAGAAAATATGGTAATTCTTCACTCCATATGGTAATTACTAAATGCTAATTAAACGGATCATTAATGTAGTTACCGTAATTAAATAATTACTCAATTAAAATTACCGTGAATATAATTAATTACATGTGATATAGCCATTATATACGTTCCTTTGGCTATGGTAATATAAAATGTGTCATGGTACCATGTACTAAGAATAATAATAATAATAATAATAATAATAAACAAGGCTAATAATATATATATATATATATATATATATATATATATATATATATATATATTATTTTTGTATTATGTTCACTAATTTATATATATGTAATGATATCTACTAAATTATTGCATTTAAAAATGGTAATATATACATGTACTTTGAACGGATCATTAAAGTCTCCTATTTCGAACAGTGGATTTGTTTAGTATATGGTCATTAATGGAGTTACCGTAATTATGTAATTACTCAATTAAAATGGTAAGTAATCTAAAGTAGTAATAAAATAATAAAATATTCAAACATAATTACACTAAAAACGTGTAATATTTTTTGAATATAAAAACGTATGAAATAAAACCATTTATACGAATGGTAATAAAAGGTAACTAAAACCGTATATAAAAAAAGGTAACGAAAAACGTATATAAAAAAAGGCCTCTAAAAAATAATCTAATTAATTTAATTAGTAACTACTGATAGAACATCTAACAATGGTAATTAAAGAAATAAGAACGTATAACACAAAAGGTAATTAAAAATGTAATTACCATAATAAAATTTAATTGTATGTAATTAAAATTCCGGATTGTATGTAATTATAATCCATACTTTATTTAAAAAGACATGGAGTCAACATATGGTTTTCCCGCCCAAATAGTATGCCAATTACAAATGGCAATTGTGAAGTTAAAATGGTAAGTGACCAAAATTATAATAATAATTATTACAATTATTATATTTATAATAATTAAAGAAAGGCAAATTAAAATGATGCAAAGATAAGTTAATTATTGTGAAGTTAAAATTAATATTACTTTTTACACACAATGCCTTTAAAAACGTGATATTATTAATCTAAAAAATGGTTTAAAAGCTATAATCAATACAGTTCCTTTTTTATCACACGGTATTAACCAATTTCCTTTTTAAAACGAATAATTTTAACACGTAATCATTTTAAAAAAGGAACTATGACGATAATATGACAATTTATAATTGTTAATTAATATTAAGTGAACGGATTTTTTCTAATCAAGGTAGTTCTAAATTCTCAATAATAATGATGCCACGGAATATTATACAAAAGGAAATATAATTTAAAAAAGAGTAATTTACTCAAATAGGAGGTAAAGGCAGGCGTTTTCCGTGAATAGGAGTCCTCCTATGCTTCTTAGTTTTCGGCCAAGGGAATAGTCAAAAATACCCTTCTACCAGTCTTTAATTATTTTAATAAAAGAAAGTCGGTTTACGGGGGATCGCGAGAAAAGAGGCGCTGTTTTGGTTTCTGATTGGCCGCTTGAGTTACCATGTAGAACTAGGCTCGTACTGCATGCTGGTCGAGAGTCTTTAGCATAGTACATGTAATTTATTTTCGTTTGAGGTTGGGTTCAGTATTATCTCCGTGCATCTGTTCGAGACAACGATGACGACCAAAAGCGCATGTGCGAGGAGGATGTCTAGCAGAGCGGCTGGTGATGATGATGATGATTTTGTGGACGAAATCCCAATTATAAAGACTACAAAGCTAATGAACACAACAGCTGGGCGGGTGTGTATTTTCTAAATCATTTCCATTTGGTGTCGGTTTAATTTGTTGAAATAGAGCTAATTTTTGGAAAGGGTTAATGCATGCTAGATGTTTGAGTTAATGACTTTGGATGATTTCTTCTTAAATTTGTGGAATTGGTTGATGCATGTAAGGACTTTGAATAATGACCGTTACTGTCCGGGTAAATGTCTGAATAATGACTGTGAGTGTTGAGTGTATTTTTTTGGGGATTAGGTTGGTGCGTGTCAGTTGTTTTGGCAATTACATTGAGTGATGAGTAATTAATGTCTGATTAATTGTCTTGGTATTAGAATGATTAATGACTTTGTGTGTTTGGTGATTAGAATTTGGGAATTGGTTGTTGCATGTGAGGAGGTATTATGTATTTTCCTTGAATAATGACTGATTAATGGTGGATTAGTATCTGACTAAATGACTAGTGTGACTGTTTGCTGATTCAATTTTGGGTATAGTTTGATGCATGTGAGGTGTTTGATGTAATGTCCTTGACTGTGTGGTGTGTGTAGGGTTGGTAATTCATTAGTTGAGAGCCTAATATTACATTTTAGCTTTGGGTGCTTTTATTAGATAGCAAATTGTCAGTAGGTTGGGTAATGTCTGGGTTAAGTGATTGTGGGTAGGCGATCTGATGGTGAAAAGACTAGTTTTTTTTAAATTTTGCATACATATGCTCTGTGATGGAAGTTTTTTTTTTTATTATGTGCGTGGGTACTATGGTCTTTGTTCAAAAGTCATTATTCATAGTAATGATTTGATGTAGTGGACATTAATCTGTTATTAATTAGAGGGTGAATTGTGTGGTTTTTTGTGACTTTATATGCTTTTGTTTTGTGGGTTAGTGACCGAACCAGCGAGATGTTCTAAGGGTGTGTAATTTTTTAGTTGACAACCTAACATAACGTTTTAGTATTGGGTCTTTATAGTATAACGCATATTATAATGACCTTGGCTTTGCGAGGGATGTTTTTTTGTTTTGTTTGTGGTACAGTTGTTTTTTGTGAGGTGTTTTATATTGTGAGGTATTTCTGACTTTATGTTTTGTTATTACGACACATGTTTACAAAAGGATGTGTGATGAAAAACTATTGGTTGGGAAGACTGGGGTGAAGGTTACATGTTTTTGCAATGTATGGGTTGGGGCAAAAAATGTGGAGGGGGTTGTCAGTGATACAGATTTGGTAGAATTGAAAGAATATGCGTTTGGAGACTTTTTCAACCTAGGTAGCATTAAGTGGTTTACTGGGCAGTTGATGATACTATTGGAACTCAATTATGTGGAACCGTTACAGCGGAGCGGATGTGTTGACAGCTTAAAGTTTCACATTGGTGACAAAGTTGTTGAGTTTAAGAAAACGGACTTTGCGTTGATAACCGGGCTGAAATTTGGGAAGGAAACCATGTTTGAGGGTATTGACATGGATGAGCCGAATGACATTAGTTTGAGGTATTTTGGAGGGAAAATGAGCGTAACACGTTTGGATGTGGAGCATGTGTTCAAGAATATACGTGCGATTGGATGTAGGAAACCTATGGATGTAGTTAAACTGGCTATGCTTTACCTTCTGTGCTGCCATGTTGTGGGGAACCAGGGGAGGACAAAGATCCCTGCACTATATATGCATCTGGTTAATGACGTGAAGCGGTTTAGTGACTTTGAATGGGGTGAGCACCTGTGAACGGACCTGGTGGAGAGCATGGGCAAGTGTTCTTCGATCCTCAACACTGGGGGTAATGGTCGTTTTACTTTCCCCGGTTTTTTATTCCCCCTACAAATTTGGTCATTTGAAACGTTCCCCCGTTTGATGGAGAATGGAATTTGTGCAATTGGGAAGGGCACTGGATCCTTGTGGCCGAGAGCATTGCAGTGGGAGACTGGCGTGCGGCCTAAACATGATGTGTTGGAGAATTCTATTTTTGGAAAACCAGGGGTAATGTGACTAATCAAAAGTTGTTTTTTAAAATTACAGTCATTAATTTTTGTTACATATATCTGACTTACTTTTATTGTATATAGGAAAGTGTCAAGACCTTCCTCTACCAACGTTTTGGGTACCTCGCACAGTACCCTTTGTAACTTTGTAACGATTCACAACCTCCACGTCCATTAGCATCGTCAAGTTTACGTAAACCTCTTCTCCAATTACTTCCCATAGGAGCTGGCCGAAGGTCTTTAAAGGGTAAGTTGCATTGGGGGCCTGTGACTGCATGTTCTGATGGCGTCCAGAACGAAGACGAAGTGGGGGTGAAAAGTCATGTGGTTAAAAAAAAGGCAAGGGTGAAGAGAACAGAGAAAAGAACAGAAAATGCAGATATGCGTACCCGAAAAGAGAGACCAAGTGTAGTGGAGGAGGTAATTGGAGCGAGTGGAGGTGACAACGAACCTTCATTGCGTGATGTCCTGACTGCAATAGTGCATATGGAGAAGAGACATTCTAAGCTGCGTGTGGAAGTTACTAAACTGAGAATAGCACTGAATGCGCAAAGCCGACTTTTGAAGAGGGTATTATTAGGAACAAAAATGGCTAAGCGGCAACAGAAAAAGAAAGGCGATAAAAGAGAAGAGAATGGACTGCCGAGCTTTGATTTGGGTATAGAGAGCCAAGGGGGGAGAAATGAGCCAGGCAATGATCAGGAAGATATGATTTACGAGGAGGACATTATTAAGGATGCTGATTTAGGAACCCAACTTGGTGTTTCTGATAATGAAGTTGAAGATCCTTTGAATGACGTCAGCACACAAGAGGTTGAAGGGCGATGGAGGCAGACAGTTGAGGGTTTGGGACTGAATTTGGATTCAGGAAAGGGTGCAGGGAGTAGTAAGTCAATAAAAGTGTCAAAAGAAACGACAACAGAATATGTGCAGATTGATGAAAAGGTAGTGGATGAGCGGGCTGATGTTGTTGATCGAATAGATGTTGCGGAACTTGTAGGTGCATCAACAAGTAATGGCATATGTGCTGGAGTACCTGAGACTGTGAATGGAACTGTAAGTAAACGTTAAAATCATTACTTGTGGTTTCGATAACTGATGTATATTAGGATTTAATTATTATTTTTTTGGAAAAAACTTGCCTTTGAAGGTAACTGGAGCAGTGGTTGGTGGGTTCTGTGACAGGTTTGAGACTGTGTCTCAAATTGTTGAGGTGTGTGTTGTCCAAAATGTATATGTTAACGTTGAGATATGTAAATGTCTGATTTTACACTCTTTGTTATTTGTGTAGGATCTGCAGGATTGTCCACCGTCTCAACTTTTTTTCAGTTTAAAGGGGAATTTGGTTGGGGGTGTTGAGGATACCAAAGTTCAGGTGGTTAATGTCTGATGTTCAATTTGATCATGTTTTTTGTGGTTTTTGTTAATCATTAGGTGATGTTATGTTTGCATGTCCTGAATTCGTTGAGTGTGTTGAATTTTATTCACAGGAGGTGACGCCGGAGAAAATTTTCAGTGAGAATGTAAGGCCGGTTGATGAAGAGATTGTGGACGATGGTGCTGATGAGGAAATGGACAATGAGGAGCCATGCACACAAATAGTGATACGTGCTTTTTGTTTTTACCTATTATTTTGAGTGGTTTGTACTGTAAATATGACTAGTACAGATTTTATATTCTGAAGTAGGGTTTTTTGTTATATGAGTAGAAGTAAGATAATGACTTGGGGATGGAGAGATTTAAGGTGATGGTGGTCATTTCATTGTGTATCTAGTAGTAGTGAATTTTGTTACAGAACAGTGTTGCGATATTTGAAAAGTATTTACTTCGTTTTTTTAAAGTCATTATTCTGTTGGAGGCTTTAGTTAAAGACTTTGTATGTCAACGGGTATGTACATACATGGCTGACCAGTTTGTGTGTCAACGGGTATGTGAGTGGTCAGCCATGTTTTGTGTTTGAATGTGTACTCTGCGAATTGTATTACAGAGGTGATGAAATCAATATGTGTTTGACAAACGTTTTTTGGGTGTGACACTAACACAGGTGTATGAAGAACCGATAAGGGTTGAGATACCAAGAGAAATAAAAGATCGTCAGAAAAGACCATTGAAGTGTCCACAGCGGTTCAGTCCTGACCAGTTGATAGTCAGGCGTAAAACGAAAAAGGTGAGAATAGTGATGGAGCATGTTATAGACTTCGGTGGGGATGGAGATGATTTCATGGGGCCATTCACATTAGACCCCGCTGAGATGCCAAGTCAGGACGATTTGAGGGAGGTGGATGAGTTCATGCACAAAGGTCTGTTAAAGAAGCATAAGAAGGAGCCCGGGCGTAAGTACTGTGTGAATGAAGATGTTCTTGCACCAAGTGAGTTTAAGACTCACTACGATGAGAAGGCCACCTTAACGAAAAGATGGTACTACGAAATCTATTTCCCTTGGGGGTGGCTGTCAGATACGGTAATGTTGATTCAGTTAATTATATACGAAACTCTGTGTGGTGTGTTGAATGCATATGATAATATAATCAATTTTAATATGCAGCATCTTGATGTCATTTTCTACTACCTAAGGATGAAAGGTGTGGAGTTCGGGTTAGTGCAGAGGTACACAACGACAGACACACCGTTCCTTGAATTAATGAAGAATTTGTGCGATAGATATTTGAAGAAAGAACTGACAATTGAGCAAGCAACACAGAATAAGTCAATAAGGAGCACAATCGTTGGAGGTAGGATGGAGTACGGCCGTCCATGGCAGGGTGTGGATTTCGTGTACATGCCACTCAATACAGGGAGCCATTGGACATTGCTGGTCCTGGACATTACGCGGAAGGTTATCAGAACATATGACTCAAGCCTGCGGAGAAGCAATTCGAAACGGAAACTGCAGCAATTCATGCCAAGCCTCCAAATGTTTCTGCCAAAGCTGATGGATAAGCTGGGAGTGTATGAAGGACGGGAAGAAGGTCCGATAGGTGATGGTGTCCTTGCGATTGAGGGTGGGTCATGCTGCCCTGAGCAAAATGACGGGTATGTGACGGGCATTAATGCACGAAGGTAAGTACTGATTTAGTTAATGTGGTTATGTGAACCTAACGTCTTCTGTTCTGGCATGACTCAGGTCTAGTTGTGGGAAGTTCGTAGTGAAGATGGCCGAATTTCTCATGATGGGGCGTGATGTGCGCGATATGGGTGATGATGAGATTGCCGCATACCGAAAGAAGATGACAACAGAGCTGTTGGCCTACTCCGGGAAGTAGGACTCATGGACTGCGTTTGGAATGAGACAAACATGCACTCTTTTAATGTTTTTTGCAGCAATGTTTAGGTATAATGAATTCTATGCACTATTTTTTTGAGACAGTAGGGATGGCTGTTATTTTGATACAATTAGTTACACTGGAAAAATGATGTTTATTGGTTTGAGTTTTTTTATACTGGGCAGTTTGTGTACTAAATGGAACTTAATGTGTTAGGTTATTTTTGTAGTAGAATTCTAAGATAAGATAATGAATCTGAAAAGTTGAGGAGATAAGGTGGTTTTCTAGTGGTATATGTTTGGATATGGTTTGTTTAGGATGCTACGCAGGGTGGTAAATATGGTGTATTTTTTTGCACTTGTGACCTGTTTAGTCATTATTGTGTGTGAAATGATTATGGTGGTGGGGAATGAATTGTTTCCCAATGACAAATTCAGTATCAGAAAGAAATAAAATAAGACAAACTAAATGAACCAAAAATGAATCCCTGAACATGTAAAAAACAAAATGAACCAGAAATGGGACAAAACTAATGGACATGCTGGACCAAGGTTCCATGGAATGTTGTGCNTTTAGTCATTATTGTGTGTGAAATGATTATGGTGGTGGGGAATGAATTGTTTCCCAATGACAAATTCAGTATCAGAAAGAAATAAAATAAGACAAACTAAATGAACCAAAAATGAATCCCTGAACATGTAAAAAACAAAATGAACCAGAAATGGGACAAAACTAATGGACATGCTGGACCAAGGTTCCATGGAATGTTGTGCTTCCCATACGTCTTCCTACGGGAGTCAAACGCGATTTGAGGAAATGGGATTCCAAAAAAGTTTTTCTATTATGTCCTGATGATTTGCATCGTGAGCAGGTTTGCCGCTTCGCATGTTCACCTTTCGACGAGATCCTTCGCTTTTTTGGTCTCCCTGGAGGTCGTTTGGAGCACGATGGTGGTCTGCAAATAGTTTCAGCAACCTCATCAGGTTCAACCCACGAATCTTTGGAAGGGATTGGGTGTATGATTCCACTATACGTAGCTCTCCAAGAAGCAGCGGTGTAGAATGATGAGATGTAGTCGTAGCATGACAGTCCATGTCGACAACGAGTAGCAGCGACTGCATGAACACATACAAAATGGTCCAATTGGAATTCGCAGCAGGTACATGTACGATTCTGAAAATTCACAACAAACGACCGGTAGTTCTTGTCAAAGACAAGGAATTCAAATGCACAAGCTGGTCTAACCTGCAAAAAATTAATGACATGAGTTTAGGTTCTTAATGATTGCGAAAGTAGTTTATGCGTTACATTAAACAAAGCCGAATGGAGGGGAATTTAGACAATGGGTTGTATTTATAATGACTTGTATAATAGCACGTGTTGACCAGATTTTGCAGAATTCGTATAATGACTTGGGTTTTGCAAAAATAGTCATTACGTGTAATGACACGTGATGACCACATTTTAAGGGATTACGTGTGATGTTGTTATTGTGATTATAGTGAATAATATAATGACCACATATTAATGTAAGGCAATGATGTGAAAAAGTAAACTTTGCATCAATTAGGACTAAACATAATGACTTTCTCAAGGTAGAGCCCAAATTTATTTATTCCCTAAAAAGGTACTTGATAATGACCTAGTCGGAGGAATAATGTCCAGTAATGATGGACATTTACTTGAATAATGAGTACTTGATAAAGACCAAAACTTTTACATTGGGAAATAAAAACATATGGTCCTATATTGGGAAAGTCATTATGTTTTAGTCCTATTTAGGTGAATTGCTCAAATTTTTTAGAGTGGATGACCAAGAATGTAGGTGCGTGTGAAATTTATTTCAAACGTACTTACTTCCATAACACTTGAAGCCACATGTAGTTCCTTAAGTTCCGCCTCGTAGAACTTTGTCAGTATAGATGAGGTTGCGTTGGCGAATTTTCTACGCTTGTGGAACCAAACTTGCATCCTGCCCACTAGAAAGTCAACCGGTTGTGTAATCGGATATTCACGTGGGACAGCGTCAACATTGTTCATAGACTCGGCTAGGTTGGAAGTCATTATGGAATAACGGTTATTCGAGCAAGATCTTGCCCACTTATCTTTGCCTATTTCTTTGAGGTATCCAATGATCCTGGGGTCATCACTGCCGAGATAATTCAAAAATCGCTCACATTCAACTTCAGAAGCTGCCCTTGCGGCAGCATAAAATTTCCAGGATAAAGACTTCTCGGAGCCATTAAAATTGGACTTGATATTCCCGAGAATGTGGAATATGCAATGGCCATGACCCGCTTTTGGAAAAACTGATTTCACAGCCTTAATAATGCCTTCATGCATGTCCGAGACTATATACTCCACTGGACGGTGTTTGAGGGCTTGCTTTACTCTTGAGAGAAACCAGTGCCAATTCGCATCGTTTTCAGCGTCGCATATGCCAAATGCTAGTGGAAAAATCTGATTATTCCCATCACGTGCAACTGCTGTTAAAAGTGTCCCCTTATAATATGATTTCATAAAGGACCCATCAATAATTAGGACACAATGGGGCCAACCTTCTCTCCAAGCTGCGAGTGAGATAAAAAGATACTTGAACAAGTGATCTGGGGTCGTGGTGAGTTGGATCAAAGACCCCGGATTAGCCTGTTTGAGCATGTAACACATTGAGGGCAAAGCAGCATATGATTCCTCGGGTGTCCCAAAGCAAATTTTCAATGCCTTCTCTTTAGCGAACCATGCCTTCTTGTAAGTCATTGCGATCCCATGTTCCCTCCGCATGTCCGTAACAATAGAATTTGGAGGGTACGGCTTCGTCGTTGCATCACAATAGTTGTGTTTTACTAACTCTGCAACGATGTGATAAGTAGCCTGGCGTGTGTTGCCTTGCCGAACATCAATAGGGCATTGGTGTTCCCTATTGTACCTGTAGGATATTAAAGACCAAATTAAACCAGGGTTGGTAAGAAGTATGGTTTGTAGACATTATTCTTAATACGCATCTAACAGTGTAGACATTATGCAGTGTGGACATTATGGAAGAGAAAGATAATGTAATATCCATGTATCAGACATTAACTGACTGAGATAACATTGGAAAATGAACTGACAAAGCATATAATGTCCATGCGAGTAGATAATACCGTGCATAGTGAAAAAGGACACTTATAGTTATACGTTAATCGTAAATGATGGGGGGTGTTCGGTTTGATTACAAGTAATGCACTATGGTGTGATATATAGATTGGCTATTGAATGACCTAAAAGTCCTGTTTTTTTAGACTTTACGCAAATCATTAATATATGGACCAGTATAGTAGGAGTAAAACCCATTGGTTAAAGACCATAAATACACCCATTAGACAGTAAATATATGGGAAATAAAGACCTAGAAGATGGCATGGACATTAACACCTCAGGTATGTTGGATATAAAGAACAGTAGCATGACATTGGTGAAAGACATAGTAAAATGGCATGGACATTAACACCCCAAAAACCTGGGAATAGGACAGTTTTCCGCTAAATGTTAAAAACAGTAGTACGCACCTACGAATCTGGAACATCTCAACGCCGGGTAAACGCACAGCCCGAACATCCCATTGGCAACGAGGGAAGTCAACACACACAACATGCAGCTCGGATTTTTTGGAAGTTCTGGTCCGGTACTGGAAACAGTTGGAAATTGCAAGCATCTTCAAATGATAATCGAGGTCCATTTTGCTAGAGTATATGGCACCAACGACAATCCTAGTTGAATCAAACCGAGATGTTACGTGCATCTCCTTCAATGAGTTAATATCTTGCTGGGACATCTCATAACCAGACGGATTGGAGTCAATAGAATTCCAGGAAACCAACTCTCTGTCATGGTCATTATGCGTAGAAATCTCATCTACATTATAGGTGACAAGTAATGACTCCTTAAACAAATCACACCGTGATGAGATGTTGTCTCCGCAGATAGTGGTTTCGTTTCCTAAAACATCACGCATTGAGCCATCTGAACCAGTTTCTTCCTGAGTAGTTGAGTCTACCTCACAATCATAACCTGGTAATGTCTACAGACCTTCCGTGGGGACTGATTCTCCATTAGACACGCCCATTTCTGTGAAATGATATACTTCCACGCACAAAGGGAATTCGCGTAAAGAGGGATATGTGCTCTTCAAACGAAGGTAGGCGAGAAGGCTCACATCATCTTCAATGACGACACGCCTTGAGGATGATTCAGACATATACAAGATATTGAAAACAGAATTTTCATAAGAAGACGGAACCGTAGTACGAACCAGTTCCACAAAGTCTTCATAATGGGTCTGAATCGGAATGTCAATCTCATAAGCATATGCGTAAGAAAAAACACCATTACCATCCCATTCGCCATCAAATTGCAGGAGAAGGTGGATGTTCGGAGGTGTGGAGGAACCCGCTGCAAATTTTGATACAGAAACCAGTAGTGAAGAAAACATTGTGAGAGAGGAGGCGAGAGGAAGAGACTAACGGAACAAACCAGAGGCGGCAGAGACATGAGTGAAGGAAGGAACCGTAACACTAGTGTGCGAGGAAATAGGGTAACGGTTACTAAAGTGATAAGGATGTGGAGTTAATTGCTCACCATTATCATTTAATAAATTTAATAAAAAGGGTGATGGGGAAACGTGGGTAAGGGGCATTTTAGGGTGTGTATTCTAAATTTACTCCTAAAAAAAGAAAAAAAAGACACAAGTCCTATATAGGGAAAACACATATGTTTAGGTCCTATATGGAACAAATTTTACTTAAAAAAAAGGAATATTACTTTTAAAACACAATGCTTTTAAATTTATTTTTATAAAGGGAATTTTTTTAAAAAAAATGAATATTGCTTTCAAAACACAATGCTTTCAATTCGTTTGGAGTGTACTAATTATTTTGGGTATAAATAAGTACTATGAGTACTGATTGGAAACCTCCAAAATTTTTGCAAGAATAAGTAATTAAGTGCCATTTTTAACCTTTTTTTGTGCAAGCGTGAAGTTAATATAGCTATTATTTTTATAGTAATTAACGTGAGTAATATAAAATGGTAAGCGTGAGTAGTATAAAAAGGTAAATGTGAGTTTACCTTTTTTAATAATTAATGTATTAAAAAAGGTAAGTTTTTAATAAAGGTAAGTTATACAATTGCAAAGCATAAGATTTTGTCAAGAGAAAATAATTAAAAAAGGTAAGTTATACAATTATAAACCCAATTTCGTAAAAAAAATAATTATGGTAAGAATAATTATACACCCAATTTTGAAAAACTTTAACCTTATTATTATAATAGCCTATAGCCTGTTATAATTTTATATACTATAAATACGGTACTTTTCCAGGCCAAGGTAGTAAGATTAATCAACGTGTGTTTTAATTCGGTGCTTCAACATCGCTTTTTGTACGAACACATGGGGATCATAACCGCTTTAAAAATTGTTGATGAGAGGTCAGGATTATTGATGATGAAACTAAGAGCGGTAAAAGTTTACATATTTTATATTTTACATATAAATCTTTAAAAAAATGAATATAATTATATGTAAACGTTTTATATGTAAACGTTCCGATATGTAATGAAGACAATATTCCCACAAATTGTATAAATAATGTAGTCTATAAAGAAGTCTTTCGAAATTTGTAAAGCAGTGATGTTTTTTATCTTAAAATAATATAATCTCTATATTCTATTGCATCTCATTTTTATCATTGAAAAATGATTTGAATTTAACAACATAAAAATGACCCGTGCAACGCACGGGTGTGATACTAGTTTATATGAAATACTCCGTATAAATTTAAAAAAATATGAAATTTTATAGAGGTTGAAAGAATATCTCGTTTATTATAGAAAAGGTTTATTATATATTAAGAGAAGCCTTTATTAATTATAAGTTTGGTAGTTGATATATTTTTAAACAATTATTATATTTATTTTGTATTAAATACGTTTATAATTATAAGTAGCTCAAATTGTTATCAATAAATGACAAAAAATTTCATTGTGTTTTAGTTTTTTGTACTTTCTAATAACTTTTCTATAAAAAATTATTTTCTTTCCTTTTTATCATATTGAGTGATTGTTTAAATAAATGCTTGTAATACTAATTTTGTTTTAATTTGTTTTGCTTTTAATTCTATTGACTAATTTTCTTAGTATATTTTTGTTGATCATTTGACAAATAACATAATTTTTAGATCTTTTGATGAATTGTATGATTTATAATTGACATGATTACAACATTTTAATTTTTTAAAAATATTCATATGCCTAAAAGTTTGTTTGAAAATTTTATAATTTATTAAATTCGAGCCAGGTATTAAAAAAATATTCACGTATTTTGATAAATTAAAATTTTATTAAAATTTAGAAATTCTATTAATTCTAAATTTCGATTCATGAATTCAAAATGATTAATTATCATTTTTTAAAAACATAGTAAAAATAGATGAAATAATTGAAGAACGAAGGAGGAGATGAAATACTAAAAAAGAAAATAAATTTTAAAGTACGACACATGTTATTCTCTAAATATTAACACGTGTCATTCTTTTAGAGACTAAACTCTCAAATTTATATATAGAGGATAGCGGATATATAGAGGATTCTAATACACAATCTTTTATTTTCATTTTTCTATTTCGATTATTCAAGATTAATAAAAAGTATTGTTTCATTTAATTTTTATTTTTATTACATGAATGGTCGACATGTTAATTTAAAATTGAAAAGTTCTAAAGGAATCACCCTAAATAAGAATAATACATAGAGAAAATACTAAAATAAATAGGAGTTTCATGTTTTTATCCTAAAATAGAAGTTTACATTATGATAATGTAACAGTGTATAGATTGACAGTAATTATAAGCATTGTATTTACATTGTAACTCAAATTTTTGGAATAAAAACATGAAATTTTATTTTGATATATTTTTTATGTTTTATTCATAGTTTAGCTTTTTCCCAAAATTATATGACAAATGGTAATACTCCATCCATCCCAATTTAAGTTGTCTATTGAACATTCACAAGGTTAAACTTTAATTACTTTCTTTAATCACTTTTTTTACTTAAATGATAAAAAACATAGCCATGTCACCAGCATCTTGTTTTTTAAGCATTTTGATGTAGTTTTAAAATATATAAAATTTATTTATTAATTGTACTCCAATTTTCATATAAATTCATTTGAAAGTAAATTTAGAGAAAGTATTAAAAAGTGGAGAGATATCCAAATAAGAATAAATTAGTGAGGGGTGACAACCTTTTGAATTTCAATTGAAAAAAACAGGACCTAAATCCAGCTCCCTATTTGTTAATGGAGTTAGGACCTAAATGGAATTATGCATTGCTAAGTCCAGCCCGCCAAACCCAATACGAACTACGGAGTATTAAATACTAATAGAACCCCATCAAGCCCACAATATTGGTAAAGAATTGGTTGTTTGGCCGAAACAAATTACGTATTTTTCTCGAGACCTTGTGACCCGGTGGGTAGTAAATATTTTGTTCGAACTGACCACGATATTATTAACTGAAAACTAAAATTAGCCGGAAGTTCGGTTTCGATTTCTATGTGAAAATTAGTTTTTGTTTTCGGACGATTTTTTGTTTTTGATAAGAAAACTAATTTGAAGGAATTATCGATGTGGATGGTTGGTTTTAATATATGAGGTGATCCGGTTTGGTTGGGGAGGAATTCCCTGAATGAGAACTTTTTAGGGAGGAAATTCCCCACCCAAACATTTGCATGTTGTACATGCGGTTTTTTTTCTTTTTTTTCCAGAAATTTCGCATGTCATAAATGCTAAAACATCAACAGTGGCGGATCCAGAAAATTGAAGAGTTGGGGGCACAATAATTAAAGACTTAAAGTCATAACATAAAGTAAAAGACCAAAAAATTACAAACACAAGTTTTGAAATACATAAAATTAAACATTACAATTCTAATATGACAAAGCATAAAACATGAAAAAATTACAACTGCCCTCTTCGAGTTTTCATCTTCTGAAACCGATCTATTACAGTTTCATTTTTAACTCTTTCAAGCATGTCTTTTTCCACATAAGATAATAAACAATCACTAAAGAACTCATCCCCAATCCGATTTCGTAAATATGTCTTCACAAGATTCATTGTTGAGAAGCATCTTTCAACACCTGCAGTTGCAACCGGCAAAACCAATGACAACTTTAGAAGTTTATATACCAAAGGAAAGGTGGTGTGTTTTTTCGTCTCTACCAATACCGTAGACAAATCACCAAGACCATTAAGATTTGAAAATCTGTCATCTGAAGTCACGTCCATAATATATGTCTCCAATTGATTCTGTAATTCTTTGGCATGAACTTCAGAGAAATCATTAGGATAAAATTGAGATAATCTCACCAATTTGGCCACATCAAAGTTATGGAAAGAATCACGAGGACTCAAACAAGCCACACAACGGAGCAACTCCATGTTTACTTCATTAAAACGGTCATTCAGTGATGCAACTTGTTGATCAATAATCACATAAAACAATTCAATACGATACCGTACCAAATTAGTTTTCCTTGTCCTACGTCGTGGATGATCAAGATCAACATATTCCTCATCCATGTTTAAAAAAGGAAGACCATACTCATCACAAAAAGAAGAAATTATTGCTATGAGGGATTCCCATCCTTCACTTCTTAACATTTGCAATCGTTATTTAGCAACTTCAACAAGAGATAAAACATTTAAAATATCTTGATCTTTCCTTTGCAATGCCACGGACAATTCATGAGTTATTCCAAGCACATCCAACATCAAATGTAAGCAAAAAGCAAAGTCAAATTTCTTAAAATATCTCAAAACACCACGAGCTTGAGCTTGCTTTGTTGTGTCTCTAGCCTCATCCTTCACAAAATCAAGCACTTTAATAATCGAAGGATACAACTTTACGATATTTAAAAGTGACTTATAATGAGATCCACAACGCGTATCCCCGGGTCTTTTGAGACAAAGCTCTTGATTCAACCCACTTCCATTTTCAATCTCTCCAGAAGCAATGCCTTCTTTAATTCTCTCCATATAATCGTCTCGAATCATATCTCGGCGTTTACATGAAGCCCCAACAACATTTAACAATGTGGCAATCATAGGAAAAAAATCTTGAATGTCAAGATTCATTTTAGCTATGGCTACCAAAGCTAATTGAAGTTGATGAGCAAAACAATGAATGTAATAAGCTGATTTATTTTCATTCAAAATCAAAGACTTGAGGCCTTCAAACTCACCCCGCATGTTACTAGCACCATCATAACCTTGGCCTCTCAATCTTGACAAGCTTAATCCATACTCAGCAAATAAATTATCAAGTGCATCTTTAAGAGCTACAACACAAGTTTCTTTCACCATGAACAATCCCAATAAACCGTTCTTGGGCAAGACTCTTTTTATCTACATATCGTAACATCGTAGCCATTTGCTCTTTATTTGATATGTCACTAAATTCATCAATTAAGAGACTAAAAAAATCCCCATCAATGTCCTTTAGGATTTCATTCATGATTTCTTTAGCAAAGCAGTGAACAATATCTTTTTGAATATTTGGAGAAATCATTTGATGGTTCCTTGGAGCATTTTGGAGTATAACCTTACCCACAGTCTCATTTTTTTCACCGGTATATGCTAATAATTCTAGAAAATTTCCCCGGTTACTCGATTCTTCATTTTCATCATGACCACGAAATGGTAGTTTTAATCGTAACAAGAATCTACAAGCCATAATTGAAGCATTCAAACGAATTCGATATTCATTTTTCACATTCTCTGATTGTGTGTGAAGTGCACCTTCAATTGATTGACTCTGTTTCATCAAATTCTCACATCTTCTAAGTGCTTCATTGTGATAATTATTGACCTTACCAATATGAGATGCCAATCTCTCACTTTTGTTCCATGATGAAAAATCATGTGTTACAAATGCATCACTTCCACATTTATTTTCATGATAATCTCTACATAAATAACAACACAAACAATATGCTTTATCCTCTTTAATGCTATACTCTAACCATTTTGGATATTTTTTGAACCAATCTGGATTGAATCTCCTTGAACTTTCCCCGATTTGTTTTGAAGGGAAGTTATGGTCTAGAGGTTGACAAGGTCCTTTCAACCAATATGCACGCCTTATTTCATTTCTTTGATTAAGATGATAGTCACTAATCTTTAACCTTTCAGCGGGATCAAAGGGCAAATCATTCAAATCAATTCTTTTTTGTTTTACTTGACACTCAGACACAGAAAGAGGCATACTTCCATTTGAAGGTCCACTATCACTTTTATTTTCTTGTAAAGATGAAAATTTCCTTTTGAAAAATCTCTCCATAAATCTGTCAATGAGTAAATTACAATTCAAACTAATAGCTCTCCATGGATTCAATTATCCAAAATCTATTTACCTCAATTAATTAAAACATCAATAATACATATTATCAAATAATTTAACCCTAAGCTTAAACAATTAACACATGAACCTAACATCCTAATATAAACAATTAATTAAAATATATATGTGATAAAACATACTTTGCTATTAATTTAAAATATAATTTAGGAATTAACAGTAATTAAGAAATAAAATACTAATAAATTGAAAATAGGACTATGGACTCACCGATCGAATGAGAATTCCGAATTTCCGATGAATGCGAATAGGCGATGGTATGATGATTAAGAGCGAACGTATGAAGATGGAAGATCGTTGCTTTCGTTCTCTAGCGTCGGTAGCCCATAGCCCCAAATAGCCGATTCTCTGGTTCAGCACAGAGCTGCTACTGCCCACTTCCGTAAGATTAGGTTTCTTACTTTCTTTATGTCTTTAATTGTGAAAAATCTGAAAATGTTAATTGGTTAAAAAAAAATTAAACTTAAGTATAAAAAATGGGCTGGATTATTGGGCTATTGGGGTCATTCTAATTTCTAGATGGGGGCAGTGGCCCAAATATACAGAAAAAGTAAAAAAAAATTGTTTAACGCTAAAAGTTAGTTGGGGGCATATGCCCCCCATTCCTTCAAAGTAGATCTGCCACTGAACATCAACATAAGTTGCTTTTCCAGTTGGTACCACGCAAGTGCAAGCTTTTCACAATTTTTTTTAATTATTTCACATGTACTACATGCAAAACAAAATGTCACTTTTTTATTAAATAATATCTCCCCCAAATGCATATATGGTTCCTTAAAAATTATATAAATAATATTATGTATTTATATATATATAATTTCTTTACATATCATTAAATATGTATTCTTGAAATTTTTGAATATCAACATCAATAATAAATTTAAGAAGAAAATATGATTAAACATTAATTATAATGAACCATTTTTAAGAAAGTACACAACATAAAAAACACATAGAAAAAAAGTACAATTATTTGAACACATAATAAAAAAGTACACTTAAAAAATACTTAAAACATAATTATTAATTTGCCCTACGATCCATCTCTCCCAGATAACGATTTTGTTGACAACGTCCTCGACGGGGAGTCTCTTCTAAAGGACGTATCGGTGGCAAGACTTTTCAATCACCAACATTCAAATTTTCTGGAAAAATGAACGGTTCAATCCAACCACTGTAACAACTTAAATATCTCTGAACAGAGTATTTGTCTGGAACAAGATCATCTGCAAGTTGTTGAAAAGAATGATACACGCCATGAACATGCACACAAGGAATTCCATCTGCAATCTATTGTCCACACGTGCAAATGTTATTAGCCAAATCCACCATATAATTGTACGTAGCACCTAGATCAGAACGAGAAGTATGGCTAACTATATACTGATAGTTACCATAATTTGTAGCTACCCACTTGTTCTTTGTCTTCTCGTGGTGTCGAAGAATTGTTGTGATTTTAGGAGTTGTGTGGATGTTCTTCTGCATCCACTGAACAACAATCTTGTGCCTTTTTCAAATGATTCAACCATTTTATTGTAGGACATCTTTAGTATCGCTGTAACTGGGATCATCCGACAACCTTTGAGCATATTATTAAAACTTTCCGAACTATTGGTTGTAAGAATTCCACATCTATTTATACCATCATAACAAAGAGTCCATGCCTCGCGCGGAATATCATTCAAGTACTTATATGCAGCTTCATTTGCGTGCCTGATTTTTGCCATGTACTCATTAAACTGTTTGATGTTGGGTGTGCTCCCAGCGGCCCAAACTTTACGTTTAAGGTCACTGTCATGAAATTTATTCATGAAATTGCTGCGGACATGCCTTAGACAATAACGCTTGGTTATGAACCCAGTTTGTAGCTCAGGAAGATCACGATATGCATTGATAATGCCAGCATGCTGATCAGAAATTACACAAACCCGATGCAAACGAATAACTCTTTGAACAAGAAGACGAAAAAACCATGCCCAACTGTCAGATGTTTCCCCGTCAACTACAGCATATGCAAGCGGGAAAAGTTCTTGATTTCCATTGAGTGCCACCGCCAAAAGTAGGAGACCCTTGTACTTTCCATACAAATGGGTCCCGTCCACCGTCACCACAGGCAAGCAATACTGTAAACCATTAATAGCTGCTGGAAATGCCCAAAATGCATACTTAAAATGCGGTTCTTCGTCCGGGGTAACATTGAGGTTGGGAGGGGGTGAAGAGTAAACAACATCAACGATTGTTCCTGGGTATGCATTTTGAAGGTTATATAAGATAACAGGGAGGTGCGTGTAAGAGTCCTCCCAACTGCCGTGTAACATATCTGAAGCATGGATTCGACCCATCCAACATTTTTTATAAGAAAATGCAACGTTGAATTCTTGAAGTAATTCGTGTTGAATGAGTTTCACTTTGTACTCCGGGTCAACCCGTACTTTGTCAAGGATAAATCGACCAATAAACATGTAATCCATATTGTAGTCGTTACCTCCGTGGGAATAATCCGGATGACAACTGTGAACATCATTGAATTGCTTCAAGCGCCACGCTCCAGAGGATAGTTGTTGAGA